CCCCCCCAGCGCAAAAGAATTGAGCGTTGGGGGGACCATTATTGCATCACTGTTGGGGCCGCCAAGAAAGTGCAGCCTTAGGGCCCCAGAGATCTGTCCCTGTCAAACGTGGACCCCAGCGCAAAAGTATTGAGCGCCTCCACTATTCAGAACTGCAAAATGAATTCCTGACGCTGCGTGCGGAATTAGACTCACGCCAAAATGTACATTGCAAATGCTGCATCGGTTTGAGTTTTCTCGCCATGTGCGCTTTGCGTCTAGGAAACGCTGCCCATGTGAAATGATTCCCGGTTTTATTAGCTTGTTGTGATTTATTCCCGCTGTATCGATGGGGGAATTGTATGCTGTACACGGCGGATTGTAATATTAGCATTCGTACTATTGCTGCACCAGGTGTGCGGGGGTTGGGCAGCCTGCCAAAGCAGCCCTCTGCGTAGTTTTTAAAAGTATCGCCATAACTTCATCCATATTTCGAGGTTTAATTTTTACATTCTGACATCCCCAGGAAAAGGCAGGATGCGAATTGGAGACTGCAGAGTTTATTGCTGATGGGATTTTATGGCCGAGCTCTGCAGCGAAAGTTATGTTTTTGGCTTCTGTTGACATGATTCCGACTGCGTTTTGAGCCGGTTGGTCGTTTATTCAGTGTATGTGACTTGGCGGCGACTTGTTTTTGACGTAGAGTGGAAATCTTTAAAGGATTACTCTGTCTTCCATACTCTACGCAGGGGTGGGCAAACTCAGGCCCTCCAGCTGTGGTGGAACTACAAGTCCCATGAGGCACACAGCCACGGGCATGACTCCCACAGACGGATGCATCATGGGATTTGTAGTTTCACCACAGCTGGTGAGCTGGCGTTTGCACACCTCAGGGCAAGGTGTTCAACTGATAAACTTTAGAAGTAATGCTGATTAAACTTGGTCTGTAGAGGCTTCTATATATCTGCTGTTCCTAGTTCCAGATGACCAAGGCTGACCTTGAAGTATTTATGTAGGGACAGTACTCTTCTACTTGTTGTTTTAGGTTTCCTGGCAGTAGATACTTCAAGAGCCTGTAGACAAAGACTATAGAGAGATAGTGAAGCTATTATCATTATAAACTGTATTCATTATCTAGAACGGGCTTTCTCAACCAGGGCTCTGGAGAACCCCTGAGGTTTCTCTAGAGCAGGGATAGGCAAACTCCCGCCCTCCACCTGTTGTGGAACTACAAATCCCATCATGCATCTGCCTCTTGGAGTCACCCCTTTGGCTATTAGTTTCAGGGATTTGTAGTTGGGATTTGTAGTTCCACAACAGCTGGAGGGCCGAAGTTTGCCTACCCCTGGTCTAGAGGTCTAGGGGTTCCTTGGGGATAGAGCAATGAAAGACTGATCTCCTGCTTATAGTGGTTTACACCAATGCCACCGATATAAGGGGTCACTTTTTAGCGGACCAGAAATGTATAGAGCCACCTATGCAAGGGGTCACTTGTAAACTGGCCACCAAGGGAAGGGGTCACTTGTAAACTGGCCACCAAGGGAAGGGGTCACTTGTAAACTGGCCACCAAGGGGAGGGGTCACTTGTAAACTGGCCACCAAGGCGAGGGGTCACTTGTAAACTGGCCACCAAGGCGAGGGGTCACTTGTAAACTGGCCACCAAGGCGAGGGGTCACTTGTAAACTGGCCACCAAGGCGAGGGGTCACTTGTAAACTGGCCACCAAGGCGAGGGGTCACTTGTAAACTGGCCACCAAGGCGAGGGGTCACTTGTAAACTGGCCACCAAGGCGAGGGGTCACTTGTAAACTGGTTACCAAGGCGAGGGGTCACTTGTAAACTGGTTACCAAGGCGAGGGGTCACTTGTAAACTGGTTACCAAGGCGAGGGGTCACTTGTAAACTGGTTACCAAGGCGAGGGGTCACTTGTAAACTGGCCACCAAGGCGAGGGGTCACTTGTAAACTGGTTACCAAGGCGAGGGGTCACTTGTAAACTGGTTACCAAGGCGAGGGGTCACTTGTAAACTGGCCACCAAGGCGAGGGGTCACTTGTAAACTGGTTACCAAGGCGAGGGGTCACTTGTAAACTGGTTACCAAGGCGA